AAATTTAAAAAAAAAAAAAAGTAAAATACAATAGAATAAAATAAAGGTATTGGACTAGTTGAAAAAAAGTTTAGATTAAAAAAGAAGATTACGTTTCTCATTTCTTAAGTAATTTCTAAATCAAATCTGAGTTTTCTGGTCATTTCTATGACACTGAAGTTGCAGGTTTACATCACAAGAACATTTATCTGAATTCAGATGAAGTGCACACCTAATTTAGAGCAGTCATTGCCTTAACTTCATTTTCAACAGGCTGGATGAAATATTTCAAAATAAGACAGAAGAAAKGTGAGAATTTGGAGCACTGGAGAGGAGCAGCATCTCCAAGGCGCAGGTGAAGCAGCAGCAGCAGCATTTTGTGTCCCTGTCCCTGCTCTCCTTGGGTTCTGCAGGAACTGACAGCACAAGGAGCTCCTTGACATACAAAAAAAGAAAAATGGGCTCAGCCAGGGAAAAGCCAGGGAGCCATTCCCAGGTGGAAAGGTGATGTGGGGAAGTGGAAACAGCCCACCAGGATTATCAGTGACTGAGTCAGCAAAAGCCTTTAGGAAAGCCTTGGTCAAAACTCTGTTACCCCCTGACACTGCAGCTGTTCAAAAGTTCCATTATCCCATGCCCTGCTCTGATTTATTTATTCACCTCAGTTTAAAATGCTCTTTAGCAATCTCACACCCCTTGTTCCTAGAAAACAGAAATGATTCATTTGAACTCCTGTTTTTCCTCCCGCCCCCGTGGTTCAGGATATTTCATGACAATGAACTGGAGGATTTGGGGAGTTTTTCTCTGTCTGCCTCGTGCTTTGCTTTGTGGTGTCCAAGCCAAAAAGACTTTCTRTTTCATGATCATTCTGAATCCCAGAAATTTCTGCTTCAGTTCTCGCTTTGGCTCTGCCCACTTTTCTTTTATTTTTTTTTTTGTATGTCATTTTATTGTTCCAAGGCCAACAAAATCCTTCTGGATGACAGATTATTTATCCTCAGGTACGTTTTTCTTGCTACTGATGAAGTTTTTCTTAGTATTGAAGTGAGCAACTTCGCAAATGAGACATTTTTAAAGTACAATGAACGTCCTTCAGCCCAAGTTAGAGTGGGTTAGTGAAGATATAAGACCTGAAACATTTTGTTCATGAACTGTAGACAATTCATGGACTTGAAAATGAGAACTAAATTGAGTAAAAAGAAATAAAAAATATTTATTCATCCTAAAGTTTCACTGGCTTTCAAAGCAAGATTTGCTTCCAGAGCTCCAAGCCATTAAGAATGTCTGTTGGAACCATCCCCTATACTTAAAATGTCTGTTGATCCCTCTGAGAATAATTACAGCCCGAAATTCCAGCTAATTTGGTTTCTTCCCCCGTTCTAGATAACCATAGTTGTCAAATATTTTCGCAGTTTGGATTTTTTCCCTGGACCACTAAATTACATTGTGCCTTCAGTGCAGGAGAATCATTTGTTCTGCCAGACATTGTGGGGATTGAGGGTGGTTGGCTCCGTGCACTTTGATCTCCTCAGCAGGAGGTCAGTTCTGCAGGTAAAATTCCATTCATGCAGAGAGGATTCTTTTCCTCCCCAGCTGTGATGCATGTTTGCAGTTCAATTAAGTGATGCTGAATGCGTTTTTTTTCTTAATTTTTGTGATAAATCCAAAATTTAGGGGTTCTTTTGCTTTAAGGAGCACAACTCAACATCCAACTGATTTGGAGGTTTCTCTCAGCTTTTAAAAAGCTCAGACACACAGCCCAGGACGTTGTCCTGCTTCTCCTGCCACCCCAGAGGCCACAGTAAGATATTTTATTCCTTCAGAGGGTTTTGCTCCACCCCTGGAGATGTGATGGGGACTCCCTCTGATTGATCCCCAGGCACGGAGCAATTGGAGCAAGTCCAGAGGAGGCCACAAAGATGCTCAAAGTGCTGGCGCTGTCCCTGGATCCCTGGAAGTGTCCAAGGCCAGGCTGGACAGATTTGAGAGCACCCTGGGATGGTGTAAAATGCCCCTGCTCATGGCAGGAGGTTTGGAACCAGACAGTCTTTAAAAATCCCTTCCAACCCAAACCATCCCATGGTCCCCCCTTGTTCCATGGAGGACTGGTCCAATCCTAAATAATTCCTCCACGAGTGTTTCAGACTCATGGTCTCACCRCTGGCAGCCTCCCCTCCACTAAATTCTCTCTGGTGCCTGGAACAGCTGCTTATTCCTGCAGCTCGGGCCTTTGAGATGTAAATAGTGTAATCCGACTTCAAGAGGCAAGGAAATATTAGCAGAATTTAATGTAAATATTGTATAAATCATCCCAAAATAGCACGGCCACGGGATCAGCCAAAGACACTAACTGAAAGTTAAACAGACTAAGTAAATATAGACTAAATATATTCCCCTCCTGGAATTGCCACTGGAATGGATCCAGACAGGAAATAGGTTAAAATGCAGTCCTGTGGCAGTGATATTAAAAAGCCATTGGCCCGTTTGGTGACATTTATAATGAATTTTATGTACTCCATACATTTTTAATACACGCCGAGTTAAATATTATCAAATCTATAAAAAGATTATGGAAAAAATGTCTGGTTTCACATGGGTGGACGCTGCCTGGAACTCTCTCTGTGGGTTTTGTGTAAGAGAAGTGTTTGAAAGAAAACATGAAAGGGGAAAATAAAAATCCCTGCACAGCAGTTTTGGAAAACTATGGCTTGCCCGTGCAGAGCCCAGAAAACATCACACTCCAAGGAAACAGAATTTCCAAGACACAAAYCACAGTGGGGAGTGAGGAGGGAGATGTGATCCCACCCCTTACAYATGTAAATGGAGAAAAATCAATTTAATTTCATATTGTGTGTTTGTGCAGCTCTGGGTCAGTGCAGTGTGAGTACAACACACCCTGACTCACCTGGAACCAACCTAGAGTGCAGCTGCTTGTCTTGGTGTCCCAAAAAGTACTTTTTTCATAAAACTGCTTTGTCCAAAAGTCTGTCCACATGATGGGATGGGATTTCTGTGCCTCCTGCTTTCACACYGGTCAGAACTGCCCAGCTAAAATTAATCTCTAAGTATTGTTTTGCCCAAGTCCATCTTTCTGGAGCACCAGYTTTGATTTTAATTTTATATCTCTCATACAGAGGAAACATCAGAATTTTTTATTATTAGGTGTTCAATTAATTTATTTAACTGTCCTTTTAGCAAACTTAAGCTGGTTTTCAGCTTTTGATTTCCCAAATGTCCCATTTGCTTTTCAGGTGTTTCTTAATAGATTTCTKTAAAATGAGGTACTTAATTTAAAAAATGGCTTCTATTAAGTGCCTTCCAAATTAAATCCAGCAGAATTGTATGCCTGGAGACACTGCAAAATTGAAGAATATGATAATCAGCCATCAAAATCAAACCTCTCTGTTATCATTCAGTGAATAACATCAGAACTGAGCCTTGTGCCACAAAGCCACAGGCTACCTTTTATGTAAAAAACTGGCAWAACACTACATTTTAAAATTAGCATTGATTAATTTGAAGAATGCTTCTACAAGATGGAGATTGAAGACGATCTCAGGGCACTGAAATTAGAATGCTGCTATTTGCTTCAATGCTCAGACCGAGTGTGTAATAAAAATAACTTCATCAATGCATTTCCCATGGCAGTTTTTGGTACCAGGTAGTGCTTTATGAGAGTCTAGAATGACCAAAGGCAGAACTCATTTAGATACAGATTTCTTAAAACTGTGCTCAAATGGACCAGGGAGCCAGARCAGCAAGGGAGAAACAAACACAAGAAGTGATGAAGTTCTGGGCTTGGGTTTTTTTCTTTTAAAGTTATATATTGTCTATCCAATAGGGCTACACAATCAGAATGAAACACATTCCTTCTCCCTTCTGTATTAAGCTTTCCATGAAGTCTTTAATCAAAAAAAGAACTCTTGTGCAGCTCATTGCTGGAAGTCCAACTAAAACCAACACCAGTTCTCCAGAGATGCCCTCAGCAGGGAAAGGGACAATCCCTCAGAGTTGACTGGATTTGTAAATCTGGGGGGATTTTCCACCACTGACGCTGCTGCAGCCACAGGACAGGGACTTGGTGTCTCTGTTCCCATTCCTGCCCCTGCCATGACACAAACTGGGACCAGTCACTTCCCGTGTGTTTCCCAGCCAAACCAGAGCCTRGGAGCTCCTTGTGGCTCCTACAGAAACTCACACTGAGCATCCCTGACTGCTGCTGAATAAAACAAATGCTGTGAATCACAAAATTCTCCAGAACTGCCCCAAACCACTYGGTGCAAGCTGTTCCTCTCTCAGCTCTGAGTGCTGGGAAAAGGAATGTGAGCAGAGTAATGATGTACACAAAGTTTTGGAGCACTCAGTGTTCTCAGAAATGTAAAACACCACAAAACACCACATGGGATATGTAAGCTTCTTTAATAATAATAAATTTATTAAGTGGCAAGAAGCCACTCTGCTTTGTAAACCGATTTTACTCAATCACAGTCCATTGTTTTCCTCATTTGAATACATTCTGTAATTTGTATGTGAAACAATTACACAGAGATATGTTCTGAACCCTTCTTATTGATTTTACTGGTCAGWAGAACATTAAAACATGCGGAAACAGCACCTTATTAAAACTATAGGCCTTTTCTCCTTACATCTCCTTTGCTGCTAAGCTAAATTTTCTCTGAATAAGCCAAGTCTACAGAGGTTTTTTTTTCCTTGTCCTTGTTCTGAGATGTAGTGGGGCCTGCAGAAATGTCTGATAAAACCTCACATATAATAAGTAACTCAGAAGGCTTTGTAAGCAATAGCTGCAGTTGCTGCTTCTGACTAGAGAGAGCTTCTCATGCATTAATGCACTTAGTTAGGWTTYGTGAGGAGCTCAGAGGAGGACGTGGCCTCTTCCTGATATAGTTAGTTGAGCCTGGACTCTGCACCACTGATATTATTCAGCAACTGTGTGCACCAATAATTTAAAAAAAAAA